ATTATAAGTGCAAATCTTATTTATTCTGTTTATTTTTTTCTTCTTTACTGGCACTAGGTGTCCTGTTTAGAATTCAGGACTCCAGTCTTTTAAGACTGTGGTCCTCAGTCTCTTGTATATCAGTAACACTTGAGGGTGGTACCCTCTACCCTGGCCCCGACAGGCCTTCAAACACAATCCTTCTGCAACAGCAGCAGGGAGACTGAAATTTCCTCAGCACTTTGCCACTCCGTGGTGGTCACAGAGGGTGCCTACAGTGACAGAAAAACCCTTATTTAGGAAAATCAATAGATAAACAAACAATGAGATACGTAAAAAAGGAAGGAAAACGGGCAAAAGCCCAGGATGTATAAGATACAGTGACATTTTGTGTCAGTCCAGAACCAGTGGGTATCCTCTCCTGGGGTGGTGGGCAGGAAACTGCCCTTCCCTATGCAGGTGAAGTGGTGGCGTTGTTGGTGCTGTCCCTTCTGTTTCCTCTCAGGTGTCACAAAATTCATTACAGTGAGCGCAGGGCATTGCGATGAGTCAGGGCGTGCCAGCTTCTCCGGTTCGTCTTAGCTTTCTGGAAGGGTATGGCTTTACTGTATCCAGGTGTGCTTCTCTCGGGGCTGGGCCATTTCTAATTAAACCAGGGATTTTTTATTAGAGGAGCAAAGGTGATTAAAAAACCTCAAAGGTTTGCAGACAATGAAGGGAGGAAGATTCAGTTTTCCAACCTAGGAGATGGAACAGAAGAGGAAGAAATTGCTGACTGTACTTGCAGAAGAAAAGGAAGATCTTTCAAACTGTAGGGGGTTACATTTTTTTTTTAATTAACTGATCTCAGTATTTCTCTTTTGCTTTCTGTTGAGAAATATTTTCTGATGGGAAAGTGGAAGTTAAGTTTAAATAAAACCATTGCTTTAATTTTAAAGTCCATTTATCCATTGGACTCCCAGTAACTTCCTGTACTGTAAAACTGGTAAGAGACTTCAGAGTGTGAATTATTGGTTTTACTTCTAAACTGATTGACATCAGTCCCTCTCCAGAAGAGAACAGGGGATTGCAAGTGCAGGGACAAGAGTGAAGTCAGGAGACCTGAGCTCTGCTTTTGACTTTTCCTCTGGCTTCTGTGATCTTGATAGATGTGCATATTTTGGGGGGTCCTAATTCATAGTCTCTAATGAAAATGGTCCTCAAAGTAGTCTCATTAAATGAACAACAACAAAAAACAATTGGGGTTTTAGCAATTTCTGTCAGTATAGAATTTACCTGTACCTATATTTAGCTACTTCTGTATGGCTATACTAATAATATTCAAAGGGTTTAATGAGGGAATTTTATTATATTTATGAAATACTTTGCAATTAATTTACAAAAGGCATTGTTTTTTTATTGTACGGAGGCTGGAAATAATTTCTTGCCCACCTGCATTTGCTCAGAAAATTTATTTTTGTGGTCTGTGAAATCCACAGTTATTTATTATTTTCATGTGAGAAGCTATGACTTTTGGTTTCTTTGTTTTTGACAGAGTAAGCGGCTCTTAAATGTTTCCTACAAAGGTGAAAACTACCAATATAGACTAAGACTTTAACATATATGTTAAAGCATAGCCTTTACCATATATGGACATATTTTACTTGAAAGCTTGGAAAAATACTTTTTGGTAATATAAAGTACTCCAGTTGGAATATTTTAACTAAAGATTTTATGGCCTTTAGTGGGATCTGTTACGCATGTTTTGTAAAATAATGTTCCTAACAGAGTGCAATGGTATTTGATGCCATTTCTTTCATGAACCCCATTGTAAAGGTAGCTCTGAGACTCTTAGAGGAAGAATTCACTGTCTCCTGTTTGCTTAAATATTTACAAGCAGTAAGTGTATTTCAAAGTAAGTGCGTCTTAAAGAAGGAAAAATAAACAGGTAACTTAAAGCAGTTGCAGTAAGAATCACTATATTTTAATGTATATAATCTGTATCTCACTTAACTCATACTCCTTTCAAAGAAGCTGGAAGTGGGTCCTCCAAAAACTGCACAAAATCAGAGTCCAAGGAGCTGTTGAGGGGGACGAGAGGAATTAGAGAGTGGTTTGAGGCTGAACTTGTCTCTGCCTTATAGCTGTGTATAACCTTCACCAATATAGGTTGAAAAGAGTTCGTTTTTATAGATAGCCAGTGGGTTTAAACATGAAAATACAGTGTTTCTTTGGTCTTTTGGAGCTAGCAAGGCTTGATTTTTGTCACAGCAAGTCTTTACAGCAGTGCCATGGCTCGTGTACCTGACCTGAACGCTATGTGAAGGACAGATTTTGGTGAAAGAATGGGTAAAAGAGGGTTTGTGCCCATGGGTTTCTCCTGTTTTTTCCTGTTCCTTGGCCTCACGTTAAATAAGCATGGATAGTGTAACACATACTTCATTTTTTGGATTTTATATCTTAACTTTGAATTTGAGCTGTATTATTTCAACGTCTCCAGGCTGGGAGCAAGGCTTCCTCAGCCAGTCTGGCACAGGGCCGTGGTGAGTGCAGTGGGTTGCCTCAGCAAGGGAAATGTTTGGTCCTCATGTTTCTAGATGCTTGGTGTTGACCCCAAAAATTGGATTGGTTGTCTAAAAAGGGCTTGGCTCCTTGCTACCCATTCCTAATAACCTACTTCTGGTTTATTATTATGCAATAGCCAAAGCACTGGAGGATCCTGTTTGCTCTGTTTGATGTTGTGTGGACATTGCAATATCAAATGACAGTTTTGATGGTTTATTAACTGCTAGAGCATTAGAGGGACCTAGCTTGTACTTATTCTCTCTGGAACATGGCTAGGTAACATCAGGACTACATTTCCGGTCAGTCATATTCAGATTTTAGAAAAAAAAGTAGGTATAATAGTATGTACTCTAGCAAGGAGACTTTCTTAAGCTTATTTTTATGTTCTTGAATGCACTGAGTTCATCTGTGGTGGAAAATCTGCACAAAATAGATTATTTTATCTCTGACTTTATCTAGAAGAGCAAAAATAGTTTTCTGCAGTTCATGTGTTGTCCCTCACAAAGCTATTATTTTTTTTCCCTTGACAAAGTTGTTCTTTGCTGCTTAAATTAATTGCTGTATGTCTGTTACAGAGGAGGAGTGGTGGAACACTTCTAGTCCTCCAGTAATCACAGAATGGTTTGCGTTGGAAGAGACCTCAAAGAACACCCAGTCCAACCCCCTGCCGTGGGCAGGGACACCTCCCACTAGACCTGGCTGCTCAAAGCCCTGTCCAACCTTGCATCTGTTGTCAGAATGTCAGTTTTCTTTTAATTAGCTGAAAAAATGACTTCCTCAGCCTACACATCCAGACAGACCATTTGAGCAGGTGAAGGAATAGATTAAAATGGTTTTCTCCACTGCAGTACGACAAATATTGCAGGGAATCTTTGAGGGAAAATAGGAATATTATGGTCAATCTGTGACCCGACTGAGACAGAGGAATCATGATTTCTGTAAATCCTATAAAGGTGTTTGGAGAGTTTCCATAGATGCCAATGTTTTGTTAAAATTTATCTGGAGTCGAGAACAGAATGGGACTACAAGTTACGAGAAGAACCTAGAAAGGAAGTGAAAAACAAGAAACGGGTTTCAGTGTACCCAAACCGTAGTCTGGGACCACCTGTCCCATGTGTGAGTGGGATAAGAAAAAGGAAGTGAGAGTGTAGCCTGTCTGAAAGTGGGAGGATCAAGTATGAAATACAATGTCGTGTGATGCTTCAGAAAATTTTGGCAGTATTGCCTAGGAAACACGCTGCCAGTTTGCAGTTGCCGGCCTACGCATCTCATGGCTCTGAGTGACTGTCAGCGTTTTGGGAAAGCCCCTGGGACCATCTGTAACTGAAGCGTGCTTTACGTGTCACACAGTCTCAGTCCCCAGAACAGAGCTGCTACACAGAGTTGCTTTTGCAAGCATGTCAAGCCTGAAAAGCCCTTTTTTGGTTCTTTTGCTGCTTCCTCAGTGCTCTCAGTTCAAACTTCTGCACCTTTCGTCCCGTCCTGTAGGTATGCAGTGCATCAAGTGGCTGCTGGCCAAAGTTACCTCTTTACTTCAGACTAGATCTTTTGATGCTCCATGTGGGATGTTAAGATAATTGCTCTGTTAATCTGAAGAATTATAGGCTAGCTTTTATTTTTGTCTGTTTCTTTAGGAGTTCTCCTAAAGAGCTGATAAAACAAATGATCTTCTAGATTTCCTCTATTGGTCAAGTGTATCAGCTTCCTTGCATGGGAGCCAGAGGAGATGAAAACTGCCTTTGGTAGCAGTACTTGGCTGTGCACACCTATAGACTGTTTCTCAAGATCATTCAGGATAACTTCCAAACATTCCCTTGGCGTATTTTGACCAATACCATGTTTCCACAGCAGTAATTTGTTCAGCAATGTATATGGCAGATAACATACTCTTTGAATTATTTTAGCAGTTAGTGTCTTGTGAAAGAGAAGGGATTTCAGACATAGCTTTACATTTCTCAACAACAAAGCATTAGGCAAGACTGAAGGACAGACTACTTCGATTAGCCCCAGATTTTTAAATGTTCACTGAGAACGGTGGTAGATAAGAGTATGAATTCCTTTAATTACTGCCTGTGAAACACCCTGCCTCAAGCTACCCTGTGGACCTGGAGCATCTGTCAGCCCAATGCACAGCAACCTGCTTTCTGCATATTCTGAGTTGTATCACCTCTACACCCCCTTGGCATTGGCCGTAGGTGCCAGGCTGACACAGTTTTTCTTGGACAGATGAAGAAATTTGGAAATCCCTGAGGCATTCTGCCATCCACACTCATTGGTGTGATTTCCTTCACTAGTAAGTAAGTGAGGTGCTGTGGCTTCCTCTTGTTAGAACTGTGTTGGGCTCAATGGAGTGAATATGCTAGAACCAAAATTTTGTCTGAAGGTTAGCTCTCCATGGGAAGTATTTGTAAAAGGGATGTCTGTGTGTCCAGTGTCAAGAACAGAAACTGATTCTTTTTTTTTATGTCTGTCTCTAGGTCTTCAAAAGGTGATGTCCATAGTGAAGGATATGTCTTGGAGGTAGAGTGCTGCTCGTCTTTAAACCAACTTTCTGACAAAAAGGAGATACCTGATTTTATTAAGAAAGTGAGTAAAAAAAATAAAAAAAGGCAAACCCAAAACACAGTGTGCTTTTACTTGAACTATGGTTATTGCTTCTAGTTATGTCAGTCTGACAATAGGAATATGTGTACATTTTGTGCAGTTGAAATGCTGCACTAAAATTTGGTGCTTTGTAATTTTAAGTATCTGAAAGGAAATGATACTTATTGAGAGAAACAAGTTTGATCATAGTATTATGTTAAAATGATTTGCAGTGTCACAGGTGGGCAATCTCTCACAAATGTTATCAACTAAGTTACCAGTGTAGAAGACAGTCCTGTAATGGTGTAAACATTTTAAGTTGAAACACCATGTATCATTTCCATTTTAGTGTCAAAATATTCTTTTGCACAGTACTGTAGCTAAAAGGCCTATTAACTCACAGAAACCTACGGATTAATTGAAGTTATGTTTCAGTATCACATGATGTTAGCAGTTAGAGATTATACTGGTAACCTAAATCCCTTTGTCATCCAGAATAGTGTTGGTTTCACTAAACTTTTATATATACTGGACAATTTGAAAAGAACCCTGCAAATCTTTATTTGTTGTCATTTTAGTGAAGACAGATTCATTGTGCATGTTTCAAATTTTGCAGCATCTGTTGTGTCTTATTGCATGTTATAAAAGCTAGCATTAAATACTATATTTACTTAGCCACATGGTGTAAGAATAGTGTGAGTAGACCTACCTCCCCTAGCTTTAATCCGGCTTATAGTGATAATACTTAAGAAAATTTTGTAGAACAAATTTCAGCACAGGCTGTGTGAGCTTGACAGGGATTTAGCTTGACAGGCTCAGATTGCACTCATGTTCCTTTTTACTATGAACTGTAAAAACTGGATTAAAAATAATGCAGCTATGACTATCTGGTCATGGTCATCACACTTGAAGATATATAGATTTTGGTATCAGAACAAACTGAAGTTTTCTGAATGCTTACTAATATTCAAAAGTTTGAGTCCGAATTTCATTTCAGGACTTATTATTGTACATACATCTATTATATATGTGTACATATGTATTTCTGTTCTGATGCTATCTTGGATTTTTTTCAATATATTCGCACTTAGGCAAAACTGGTGTAGTTCTTGTGTATCAGTTTCAACTTGTTTGGTTTTGTTCTTCCGTTCCTTGAGTCAGAGTAGAAATATAGGCTTATCTGTCACTACTGGGAGCAAACTTTTCATCATAGCGACAGAAAACTTCTTTGCATTTGTAACTTCAGAAGGAGTATGGCTAACATGAAAACAAAATTACAATCCAGGAGTCAGCTTATTTCCATAAATATCCAATTCTGAGACTCCTTAGAATGTTTTTCTAGACAAGGAAATGTTTCTGTTGGTAGAAGCCATTTGATTTTGGGGTTAGGAAGATGGCTTTTTGAAATATAATAATTTAAATTTTAATAGCTAAAATGTATATTTACTGTTTCTCTGTAGACTGAGTATGTCGCTTATCCTCAGATGTTATTTGATGTAGAGGAATTTGAAGTTCTTTGAAGCCGTCGCTGTCAAGTGTGCACCGTGTCACTGTCTGTATCTGATTAAACACACTGCGAAAGTCTCAACACTTTTATGTAAATCTAAATCAGAAAACAGGACTTGTTTAGGAGTAGGAATTAATTGTCATATTAACTCATTTGTCTGAGCAACAGAAATGTCCATTGCTTTTAAGGACATATAAAACAGATGTTCACAAACAAAATAAATGAAAAATAAAGGACATTCTTCAAATAAAGTAGTAACAAAAGGCTGTTAGGACAACTGCCTGCTTTCAAAAACGAACAACTCTATAATTCTTCTCAAACTGTGGAATACAATTGAAGTTAATAGAGTGTTGTAATCGAACAGGCAAATCATTGATCACAGAGCTTTTCATAATAGAGCCTTCTAGCACAGGTTTATCATCTTGATGCATTGCAAATTACTATTTAAAAAAAAAGATAGCAAATAGAGTAGCTATGTTTTCAAAACAAATTTTCTCCAACTGTGAATTTCCTAGAAAAAAAATCCTCTACCCTGAAAGAATGAATTTTACTAATTTTATTATGTACTCTCAAGCAAGTATTGTTTACATGGAGTTTGAACAAGGATGCAATTTTAATAACTACTTTTCTCAATTGACTTCTTGTTGCACTGAATATGTATGTCGTACTGAATATTAACTGCTTGCCTCTGGCAAACACAAAACAATTTTGCAGTGGCATACAGCATAGGTAATATATTTTTTCTTCCTGTGTAACTTCATCTAATGTTAAGAGTAATGAAGTAGAAACAAGGAAGTTACTTCACCTGGAGAATGCTTCTCGCTCACTGAAACAAAGTGCCTTAGACCATGTTGACTATAAAGCATTTAAGAAAAGCCAAGGAAGACTCCTGGGTCAAACCTGTATTCTTTTGCTGAGATCCTTCTGCACTTTGGGACTCTGTTCCAATTCTCTTCTCATTTCTGTACGTTTTTGCCACCACTGTGTTCCTCAGCACAGTAAAAGCTATGGAAGACAGAAGATAGTTAAATACTGGGGACGTAATGTTGCACAGGATACACTCTTCCTGTACCTTAAAATCATGTTGACAGCACCACGTTCTGTTTGTTCTTTCAGATCAATGTGGATCTGGTGCAGCTCAACATGTCCTAAAGAGCTCAAACAGTCCCACAGTGTCTTTGCCACATAATTCCTGGGCAATGAAAGAAATAACTGTTGTGTATGTACTTTACTGCTGTGGTGATATTAGCACTCCTGTCTCTAGCTCTCAGGCAATACAGAGATTAAAGATTTGCTCATCTGCTTTTTAATGAGCAAAGCTAACTTCTGAACTTCTCATCGCTGTGCCTCAGATCATTCTGAAATTGTTGTAACTCAGAGGTGTTACTTCTAAGATACTGTATTTTGTAATGCTTTGACTTGTGTCTCATGTAAAATAGGATAGCCTTTAATTACTTCCTTAGTTGCTCTTTATTTCTGTGTATCCTGTTATCATTTTTTTCATCTGAGAGTGTTCTCCTGAATGTGCTGAGACAAATAAGGGAGGAGAAGTGAGGCTGACATCCCAAGAAAAGAGTTATTTTGGATACGCAGTCCTTAATGAATGCCAAATATGTTTCTCGTGACCTTTGTTTTCTACATCAATCTGAGTTACGTGCTATAGAAGAACTTACAGGAAGCTTTTACTCCTATATTCACATCTTTGCAGTGGTAGTGAAAGGTTAGGAAATGAAGGACAGTTTCTGTACCATTTCTTCTCAGTTCTGACTTTTTAAAATTTAGGAAGCACATCTCTGATTCCTTGGTTGCCTGCTTAATAGTGCTCTGTCAGAAGGAAATTCTTGTATGTTAACTTTTTTCACTTTGACTCCATTGCAGAGTTCATATTTCTTGTCCCTGTGGACTCATTATCCTTCCCTAGGGAAGTATGATAAGCATGGAAAAGCGTGGTTTAAAAATGCTGCAGCTTAACTGATGTCCAAATGCAGGCATCTTCCTTTTGTGCTTTTTTAGTTGTGGGTGGTTGTTTTTTTTACTACACGAGGACCCTGCGGGTCTGTCCTTACTTAACTCAGAAATGACACTAATTTCTCCCAGCAAACCTAAGGTCATCCAGATGAATAATTGGTTTTGCGTTTTCAGAAGTGGACCAGTTCAGCTTGAAAGATGGCCACTATTGTGAAACAACTACATAATGCATATCTTGCAACGAAATCTGCTGTTTGAGACAGTATCAAATCTGCTCGTTGCTGTTCCCTCTGTTCATAGTTTTGGTGAACTTCAGTGAGCGTACAAATGCCATCACCAGCTCAAAAGCTGCCAGTAACATGTTGCTCCTCTAAGCGGTCCTCTGAACAATTTCTGTAGTCCAGTGTATCCTAGAAATAGTCTTGACACCTGCAGATACAGTGACTTTGCACGTAAGTTTGTTGACATTTATTTTCTAGGACTACTATTGCTGGTATTACTAGACTTAAGACTAGACTTACGCAAGTAGGACTCCAGAGAGGAAACCACAAATGTGCTAAAGAAGTAAAAACCACATTGCAAGGATGCTGCCACCCCTGTACTTGTTCTAGAGTTGACATCTACAACAGCGATCCCCATTTCTTGCAAGATACCTAGGGAATGGGACTATTTTGAAAGCAAGGCCATACAATGCTAACATTTGGATGAAGGACTCATGCCCTACGTTGCTGAAAGGATCTGCCATATTTGAGCCCTCTTGGCAGTTTTATGGAATATATGGTGTCAACTGGTATTCACTGGAATTTTTCTAAATATCTTTTTAAAAAGAAAATGTTATCAGGAATAGAACTGACATGAGGAGTTTAGTATGTTTCAAGTGCTAGTTTATGCACTGGAAATTAATACACGTTACTACCAACAAGTTTACACTGCAGTTGAACTTAGTGTACTCCTGAAAGGTGAAACATTTCTGAAAGGGGTTCAGTTCTCCTGCCCATTATTTGCCCTTGTTCCTCTGGAGGGAGCAGCGGGCAGGGGAGTGGCTGAGTGCTTGAGTAAGGAACTGCTCCATACCCCAACCAACCCCAGGTCAATCTCACTGCATGTTTCTCTGTGTTGATGTTTTTATCACACTATTGAGATACTTCTTTTCCTGCTCTCTATTTTTTTACCCCCTCCATTCATCTGTAGGTGTTTTGGTGTTATCAAGATACCTGCTATCTTAGTTCATGTGCATCGTTTTCTGGAGAGTTGTCTGTGTTACTGCTCTAATTGCGGAAGAATTTTTGCATTAGTATTGCTGCTAAAAGACGAGTTAGTTCTCCAGCTTCTTTTAAGTTGCTAGATAGAAGCAGGGTTGGAGTATTTAGGACTTGTGTCTCTCCTATAATATAAAAACTGAATGCCCATATGAATTAGAGCTTTTAAAATCTTTTCCATAGATGTTCCTGGTCAAGGGAGTGATCCAACCCAGATTTGGCTTTTCACTTATTTCCTACATATTTACTCACATCAGAATGAGCTTTTG